CCTCCCCCCCCCTCCAATTGGCTCATCTGATGTACAGTATTCAAGCCGCTTGTATCTTCTATCACCACGCCTTGCTATTGCTGTATTCTTTTTAACAAGTTTCTCTTTTGGGCGATAAGTCTGGCATGTTTTTTTGTTTTTCCTATCAGCAAAAGCTTGTAAAACGTTGAACACCTCTCTCTCACCTTTTAACATAAATAAACATAGAGGAAGATGCTAGATCCTGCAAGAGAAGGGGCTGCAAACTGGAAGCCTGTTAGTCCTAATCAGCCTCCTTTCCATCAGCTAATGCAGAGGTCTCCATGCTTGGCAACTTTAAGACTTGTGGACTTCAACTCCCAGAATTCTCCAGCCACAATTCTGGGAGTTGAAGTCCACAAGTCTTAAAGTTGCCAAGTTTGGGGACCCCTGAGCTAACGCCTACCTTGGTACTACCCTAGAGGCAAGACTGCTGGATTATACAGGTAGTCCTCGATGTACAACCATAATTAAGCCCAAAATTTCAATTGCTAAGCAAGATAGTTAAGTGAATTGTGCCCAATTTTGTGACCTTTTCTGCAACAGCTGTTAAACAAATCACTGCAGTTTTAAGTGAATCATGCGGCTGTTAAGTGAATCTGGCTTCTCCATTGATTTTGTCAGAAAGTTTGAAAAGGTGATCACATGACCCCGGGACCATCATAAATACATGCCGGTTGCCAAGCACCCAAATTTTGATCCCTTGACCACGGGGATGCTCCAATGGTCATAAGTAGGAAAACCAGTCATAACACACTTTTTCAGTGCCGTTGTAACTTTGGTCACTAAATGAATGGTCATAAATCGAGGACTTCCTGTATTGGGAAATAAAGCAATGAGATTTGCTCCCACACTCCTATATATCAGGTAGGAACAGGGGAAGGAATTGTCTTCCCAAAATCATCATCCATAAACTTGACACTAACCAGATATAGGAATGTATGAAACTGAAAAGCAGAGAGAGAACAGCCAAGAGCTAAAAAGTAGATATCACGTAAACAACCCTTTGGCAAGATGGCTTATTTCTTATTTTCCAAAATGCTGGGGATGCTCTTGTAGTAACACACATCTTCTTTCTTGAATGTTAGATGTGTGATTATAGACTTTTGGGTTCAGGGTCCTGAATAAAAACCTTTCACCACATGTATCCTCTTAACTACTGTGATGATGTTAGTAGGTATTTCATATTGCGTTACAATCAAGCTGAATTTAAACATAAAAAAGACAACTATACAACTAATACCTATGCTTAAAACGTGTTTAAAAATGTTTAGTAATTCAGAGTGTTACCTCAGGCCTTTAACCAAATCCGTTGTTGGGGGAGTGGGGTACCTGAACTTTGACATAAGCTTGAAACCAAGCTGCTTTGGCTATACAGTATATGGCATTGTTTATGCTCCAATTCTGAATGCATTTAACCTTAAAGTAGTCCCATAAATTTATAAGGGTGAAAATGCTGCACTTCAAAGTGCTGCTGTATATATTCTTTGGCAGTATTTCTCAACCTTCCCCAGCCAACATGGATTCTGGGAGTTGCATGTTAAAAGTTCCCAAGGCTGAGAAACAGCCTCCAATAAGAGTTACTTCTATAAATTTGTGTATAAAAATACGGATATCTATCACTTAGCTGCATTGTCAAGAAAGAACTGCTTTGCTATTATAACATAAAGATAATCCTTGATTTACTACCTCAATTGGGACCAGAAATTTCATTGCTAAGCAAGTCAGCTGTTAAGTGAGTTATGCCCAATTTTATAACCTTTTTTTTCTTTTTTGGCTATAGTTAAGTGAATCATTGCAGGTATTAAGTGAATCCGGCTTCCCTCACATTGACTGCTTCTTGGAAGCTAGCTGGGAAAATCACATGATGATCACATGACTCTGGGATGCTGCAACCTGCTGGTTGTAAAGCTCTCAAATTTTGATCATGTGACCGTGGGGATGCTGCAATGGTTGTAAGTGTGAGGACCGAACATAAGTCACTTTTTTCTATGCTTGCTGTAACTTCAAATATTTGTTAAATGAATAATTGTAAGTCAAGGACCACCTGTATATGTTTTATGAAAGGAGAATTACAGTAAGATAGGATGTGACTTTCTAGTCATTTTGTACTAGAGCACAAAAATACAACAATAATTTAGCAACAGCAGTTTCAGTGGATCTTATGTTCAAAGTAAAGTTCCCAACGTGTTAATATAGTCTCAGCCATGATGTAGCTTGTTGGCTCTTAGCTTAGAGCAAGCTGTATAAACTCAGTTATTTTGCTTTTTAAACCATGACTCATGGCTTAGTGCAAAATAACAATTTGCTGTAGAATTTGCAGGTCTTTAAATCAATAACAATTTCCCCCCTTATTTAAACCATCCACCTTGACAAAAGTACCATTTAGGGGGAGGGTTTCTATGTTTAATCCATCAACGCCCAGCTGCCAGTTTTGATTGTTGCAACACTGTAAAGCAGATATCATAGAGTTATAGTTGGGGCTTGATTATCCCAGGTGACCCACAAAACACTGACCTACTTCTCTTTGACAATGAGATCCCTCAGATTCCCAAAATCATAGCTGGCTCAGCATCCCAGATGCAGTGATCTGCTTGGACCAACAGCCACAGAATTGCTTACATTCATGACACAGCTGTCAGGCTGGTGTAATCCCCTGGTTAAGAAATGTCCCCTGCTGTCTCTTCAACCCAAAGGAAAACAAGTTGCAATATACAGGTGAAACTCAAAAAATTAGAATATCGTGCAAAAGTTCATTTATTTCAGTAATGCAACTTAAAAGATAAACCTAATATATGAGATAGACTCATTACATGCAAAGAAAGATAGTTCAAGCTGTGATGTGTCATAATTGAGATGATTATGGCTTACAGCTCATGAAAACCCCAAATCCACAATCTCAGAAAATTAGAATATTGTGAAAAGGTTCAATATTCTAGGCGCAAAGTGTCCCACTCGAATCAGCTAATTAAGACATAACGCCTGCAAAGGGTTCCTGAGCCTTTAAATAGTCTCTCAGTCTGGTTCAGTAGGAATCACAATCATGGGAAAGACTGCTGACCTGACAGTTGTGCAGAAAACCATCATTGACACCCTCCATAAGGAAGGAAAGCCTCAAAAGGTAATTGCAAAGGAAGTTGGATGTTCCCAAAGTGCTGTATCAAAGCACATTAATAGAAAGTTATGTGGAAGGGAAAAGTGTGGAAGAAAAAGGTGCACAAGCAGCAGGGATGACCGCAGCCTGGAGAGGATTGTCAGGAAAAGGCCATTCAAAAGTGTTGGGGACTTTCACAGGAGTGGACTGATGTCAATGCATCAAGAGCCACCACACACAGACGGATCCTGGACATGGGCTTCAAATGTATTCTTTTTTTTTTAAACAAATTTTATTAATTTTTAAAGACAAACAAAACATAAACCTTGTAGACATTAAACCTCTTTCCCTTGTAAATTTTTACAAGGCAGATAATACATTATTTTATACAGTGTGATTTTAATATATCCCATTTCTACTTAAATATCTTTTAACACTCTCATTTCTTCTCTTTAAATTTAGTCATCCTATTCATATTTCCCTCTGTCTTGTTTACAGTTATTCTCCTCCCGCTTTCCTCCAAGGTTTTATTAAATCTCAGATAAACATACACACACAAAACACATAAAGTAAAACTTCTTTTTCAAAAAAGTAGCTTGGCCCCGGATTAGCTCTCTTTGTATGGACTTCAATTAAATTCATATTCATCTTATATGCCATTACCTATCTTAATTACCATTCTGTGTCTTCCTTATAACTTCTCCCCGCTTTCCACTCTTCTTAATTCTATTTTGTTTATTATCTTGATTTAAATCATTATATTTCTATCCTTTGTCCATTCTTTTCCAATTGTCTATTTATCTCATTCCCCATAATAAAATAAAAGAATTTCTCCTGAAATCACAAATCAAAGTATGCCTTTCCATCGCACCTCTAAATTAACATTTAAGCTAACACCAAGTTCCCTATCTGATTCTGCTTAGTACATACTACTTACAAAAAGAAAATAGTAAATCCATAACATAATTAAATATATAATTAAACATTAAGTCTCATAACATTCCAATTATCTATTTCTAAAACAAATATTACAATAATATATTCATACTAACATCCACACAATAGTCAATTAAAATCTATATTTAAACTAAGTATTTTAAACCTTCCTTTTAATATTTTATTAAATCTTAAATTCTACCATTATTAAACCTTTAATATTTTAGTCTTTACTCAAGTCTTATAAAATTATAATTTTCTATTTCTAATACAAATACTACTATACTATCTTATGTACCTTGCAGAATCCTTTTAAAACAAAATTATATTACCCTTTATCCCTGAAAAACAATTTCTTTTTCGCATCTTGTTTCATACCCTTGTGGCCTTTCCCCCCCTTCTTCCTCCCTGTCTTATCCCATCTGGTCTTTTTACCCCCCTTAACTTCCCCTCTCTGTTGTATTTCTCTTTCCTTTTGCTTTCTAGCCTTGTATTGATTTTGCATCTTATTTTTCACTTTCTTAGATATTTTTTTAAGTCTTATATCCTTTTTTCCCCTTCTCTTTCTCCTTCCTTTCTTAATCAACTCTGTGGGTTCGTTAAAGATGGCAAAGGGTTCCTGAGCCTTTAAATAGTCTCTCAGTCTGGTTCAGTAGGAATCACAATCATGGGAAAGACTGCTGACCTGAAAGTTGTGCAGAAAACCATCATTGACACCCTCCATAAGGAAGGAAAGCCTCAAAAGGTAATTGCAAAGGAAGTTGGATGTTCCCAAAGTGCTGTATCAAAGCACATTAATAGAAAGTTATGTGGAAGGGAAAAGTGTGGAAGAAAAAGGTGC